CCACTTGCAGGAATTAATTGTCTCACGTTGAAACGACATTTTATAAGAAATCGCGTGACTAGTTGATGCGTCATATGTTTTTATTACGTTATTTGTACATCTATTTATTTTTACGCGACGTTAGACACACAACTGTTACGATGCTTCAGAAATCTTATTCTACTTGAAGCAGACTTCATTAACGGAGCAATCCGAGAAATTGATATATGACCTGGCTACTGAGTAGAGACGTTAAATCGCATGATCTCGAATACGCGTTAGAATAAAAAAAAATATATATATATATATAAATACAAATATAATAAGAACGTGACATATATTCGACACGAGATGTGCAACAAGACTCAACACGTAGATACGTCCGTATATACCTTGCAGCAAAACACTTCGACACGTTCTCAAAAGCTAAGGAAAATTGAATCGGAGGAACGTAACGTCTCGAACGAAGGCAAAGCCTCGCGAATCGATGGGAGAGCGGATGCCTCAAAATTTCCAAGGAGAAGGGAACTGGGATCATCTGGTTCAGATAAAGGACACGGATTCGAAGGCAATGGGAAAGAAACGAGCGGAGTAAGGCGCCGAGGAAAAAAGCCGGCTAATGCGGAATGACGACGAAAGAGAGACAAAGAGAGTGTGTGTGTGTATGTGTGTGAAAGAGAGAGAGAGAGAGTTTACGCGAAAATTAGGCGGCGAAAGAGAAAAAGCAGTGTCGCATCTCTCGATAGACGTTCCGCAGGGGTGGAACGTTGCGAAAGGGAGAGAGAAGTACGAAGGGGCGTATTGATCCACCAGCTGCGCGTACTCTCACCCTCCACCCCCGTTCTCTGCCCATCCTAGCATCCCCCACTGGCCGACTCTCCCTCGCTCCGAATCGCTCGCCCTGTTTCACTTTGCTCTCTCCTTCTCTCTCTCTCTCTCTCTCTCTCTCTCTCTCTTTCTCTCTTACTCCCTTCTCCTCCTTCTGCTCTCCTCTCTTTCTCTCGTTTCTCCCTTTCTCCGTTTTCCACCCTGTTCGTCTAACAGCAGCGACGGGAACGATCCGCTCGTGAACGCCATCGACCGACGACCTCTCGGGTTCCTCTCGCAGCTTCCTTCTTCCGAGCCGCCGGTTTTCGGGCAACCGGTTCGAAACGAGTCGAAATCTTCCTTCTCTTAGTTTAGCTACGTGCATTTCGTTGTTCGCGATTCACGTTGGAATTGATTAAGATAACGATGGTTCGATGGTACGTTGTGTTTTTTTTTTTTTTTTTATAAAAAACAATTCAGACTTCATCGAAGAGGTAATTGTAGAGGCTTGAGATAATTTTGTAGAGTCTGATCTATAGGAACTTGGTAGTGAAATGTTTGGCACAATTTGGACAGCTTTCGAGAAGAGCAAATGAATCGCTTTTTTACGTTCTCTGTCTGTAAAAAAATGTAACACACGCTCCTCCTATCGATTGGATTGGATGGATTCGATTTAATAAATATTAAGTAACTAAATTTCTATTCTGTTGCTCTTCGAAGCTTTTTTTTTTCACGTGCAAATAAATGATACACATCAAACGTGAATAAATTGAAACGCATGAAAATACAATGTCTCAAAAGACTGATCCAACTTTTAGAACTATTTGAATAATTTCACAGTCAGTGGAAACAAAAGCAGAATCCAGTCAAACGAATTTGCCGTTTTGAAAATTTGATCAATTTCGAGCCGCCAGGAAGAAAATATATATCCTTCGATCGAAGGATCGTGCCTCTCTCGCAGAGAGAAAGAGAGAGAGAGAGATCGCGAGTGCAGAAGCGGATTCAAGATAATTAGTAAATTATTTGGAAGCGCGTGGAAATCGAAGCCACCGCTAGTCGTCGTTCTTCTTGCCCTCTTCCTTTCGCCCTTTGTCCCTCTCTCACTGGGCAAGCATTACGCAGCTTATCTCCTTTCCTCGCCGGAGCTGCCCTTCCCCTCGCGGGCTTGTTAAGGGTGTGGGTGCGCGCACACCAACATCCTTGCTTCTCTTTCTTGCACAGCGGCCGATCCTCTCGCAACCTTTCCACCCCCGGGAACTTCTCTTCTCCAGACCGCGCTGCGCCGTACAGCGCCGCTCCCTTTCCAACCCTTGCAACGCTCTCTCGTCCACGTTCCTCGCGGCGATAGAAGCCGAATCGGAGTAACGTGCTCTTTTACGCCCCCCCTGTCTCTCTCTCTCTCTCTCTTTCTCTCTCTCTCTGATGAATGCGTTCGCCATAGTCTTCGCGGTGGATTCTGTGAAAAAAGCGAACGAATCATCTCCTTCTCTCCCTCCGACGAACGTGTTCACCACAGTCACGACGAATTCCATGGAAAAAGGCAACGTACTGTGTCCCTCTCTCTTTTCCTTTTTGATGAATGCCCTCGCCACGCGAACGTCCGTGGAAAAAGCCAACGTACGTACTTACATCTCCGGCGAAAAGTTTGCTAGCGGCAGCTAGAAATTCTAGCTCCTCCTCCCCCTCTTTCCTGGATCATCGTGGCTGGCGTCGAGTCACCTCGATCCAACGATCGATCCTCTGACCAGGCACATTACGACGACCGCGGTTTATAACCGCTTGCGCTGGAATGACGTGCCGCGCAATTTTTCGTCCCAGAATTGTAGTATTTTCTCGGTTTTAAATATATTTACGTATAACCCAGACAACAACAAATAACAAATTTATTACTTGTCAATAATTTCTATCCGGTGATATCGTACCGACGAGTTCGAAAAGAAAGCGACGAATTATTGTATACGGTTTGGTCACTCGTTATGGTCCGCAATTAGGACCTTGCTAGCGCAAGGGGTGAAATAGAGAGACTACACACACACACACACACACACACACATACAAGTCAGAAATTTGATAGCTTCAGTTTAAAAAATTTGAATCGAATATAGATCGAATAGGGAAACTATCCCTGAAATGTTAACAAACGGGGAGAAACAGACATTATGACTCTTGTGTAGACGTAAATCGCGAGAACGGTTGATCTTACGAAGATCGCGCTTACCTTGAGAACTCGAGGATTTCGTAGATCGAAAAATCCTGGGGGGGACGTGATCTCGAATCGGCGTGTTCTCGCTGGGGGCAGCCTGCACGTGAAAAAATTCCAATTGTTGGATTAAAATTCTGGCAATTAAATCGAATTATAAATAGAAAAATGGCGCGTCACTAAAGAGAAAGATCGTTCGAGCTTTATAGAATGTGCACAAAGTGGTACGTATCTGTACTACTGAACAGTTGAAATTCAACTTACTGAACATCGATCGTGGTGACAAACAATCTGTGACAGCTCATTGCAATGGCAGCAATGATCACGAAGATTTTCAGCCCTATCAATGGGTATATCTGAAACGAAAACGAAAGGGTATGTTACCCTGTGAAATTTTCTCGAATTCTGACAACTGGAAATTTTCTTCAATCCCGATGATTGAATTGAAATGAAAAAAAAAAAAAAAAAAAAAAATTCTCATCATAGACATTGAGGTGAAAGAAAAAAGTAGGAAAACTTTATGTAATACACAAGTACGAGAGTACGGAAGCTTTTGTTTACACGTACGTTTCAAACGAAGGATCATTTAAATCTCTAAAAATACGATTGGTCATTTTAACCATTCTGGTCATTCCAGTGTTGTGAGAAATTAACTCACGCGAGCAGCAAAGTATTTAACGAGAGAACTCGACTCGCGACGCGTTCCAATGCGTTTGAAGCGTGATATTATTCAAAGGGACGAGGAATACGTACGAAGAAGTTTGGCTTAATGCGCGGTCGCAACTTGTAAACACGGGCGTGAAAGCGGAGCGAACTGGCTCGCCAGTCGAACAATAAATTACCGCTGGAAAATCGCTGCGAGGGAAAGCTCAAAAGTCTCTTTTTGTTTTTTCCACGCGCGACACCTGGCCTTACACCAGTAATTAGACTGTAATCTGTCGTTAATTACACGACGACGACACCAAGTTCCAGTTTCTTTTCGTTTTCGTTCGTGACGTCAAACGAAGAGATTTTCACAGGACTACACGCGGCTAATAACGTTCTTCTCTTATAAAAGTCGCACAAAGAATGTAAACTGTAAACGTAGTTTTTACACCCGAGAAAGATTGTTTTGCGAAAAATCAGAGGATTCCAGGGAATAGAATGTCGGAATGTCCTATTACGATTAATTTCGTGTATTTTTTTTTTACGCATTCAATTTATGCAACTTTTCAATCGACCGGTCTGACAATTATTTAATAATTAATTAATCGATAGTCGCTTGATAATTTTTATGAGGATATTTAATCTTTGCGATATATGTACAATATTTAAATTGATAGTGTTTCTATTTCAATAAAGCAAAATGTATCGGTAGAGAAACAATTTAGAGACGATTTTTGAATTGTTAGTTAAATTTCTATTCGGTATCTTTAGCGTTTTCCTCTTCAATAAATATTTCAGAACGATTGAAAGAAGATAAATGTCATCAACCATAAATAAACAATACTGTATTATTGTTACTGTTAAACTAGATGATATATATTATTCTATAAACTAAAATAGAACATATACACTATACTGTAATTAATTATATATGTGTGTGTGTGTGTGTGTGTGTGTGTGATAATTATATGTACTATAATAATTATAATTAATTATATATATATAATATAATATATTATATTGTATTACACGTTATACTGTAATAAAATAACAGAAAAATAATAGTATATACTACAAAGCAAATGAAAAATGCACTTTCATTCCACATTTTTAGTACATAATGTAACACTTTCCATAGACGAAATATTCCATTCCACAGACTCCTCACCTGCCTAAATAAAACACTTTAAATATTTTAATATTTGCCAAAATTAAAAATACCGAATTTAATCTCGCACGTCCATCCCTTTTTACTCTTTCAACCACGTTCTTCCCACCCTGTTTCTCCCCCTGGCGGCGGAGTGCTGGGATAGAACAAACAGTCGAGTCGAAACGTTTAATTAATGATTCGTCGATCTGTGTGTTTCAGCGCCGGCATGGAGGCGGCGAATGGCGCGATCGAGCACGACTTTCACAACGCCCTGGTGCCTATAAACGGTAGCCATTCCGGCAGCTCCGGCAGGAGTACACCGAATGGCGGTGATCCGGCACCTGGTAAACTGTTCGTCGGTGGCTTGTCCTGGCAGACCAGCAGTGAGAAGCTCAGGGAGTACTTTGGCATGTTCGGTACCGTCACCGACGTCCTGATCATGAAGGATCCGGTTACACAGGTCGGTTTACTCGATGGAAAACCTCTCCGTCGACTTGTCGGTCGCTGGCCCGATCCTCGTCACGAGCTTTCGTCGTCGATCGATTTAATTTCATTCTCCGTCAAATTGAAAACGAGCAAATGCCATCCTCTATCATGACCGTTTCAGCGACGACCAGAAGAATAATTCAGGGAGAAAAGCGTCGAGACGAATATCGACGGGATAGTAAGATTTGAGAAAGAAACAACGATTGGAAAGTTGAATGAGGATTTTTCAAGAACGTGTCTCCATACTCCGATTTGGTTGAAACTAGATCTCGGAGCATCTATGACGAAATTTAATTTTATTGTTTCTTATTACTTTCAAATTTTATATCTGTTCACTTGTAAATACATGTATATATATATGTATATACGTAACGATATACGCGTCTAGAAAAACATTCTGGAGGTATTGTGCGAATGAATAATACAATTTTCCTCTATGTACATGTACCGAGAGCCGTATTAGAATAAAATGAACATGCCCTAAAGAAGTTTTTCAATATAAAGATATGATACAAAGAAATGTTAATTGCAAGAATATAAAACTTGTTGCCATCAGCTGATTAATCGAGAAAGTTTAAGAGGGACATTGCTTGAAATTTGAAATTAGATTTCACGTCGAATAAAATTCGGAATTTTACGCTATTTTTTTTTTTTGTGTTTATTCACTCTTTTTCTCGTGATAAACGCAATACTTTGATGAAACAGATATCCATTTTATTTTGACAAAGCAAAACAGTTACAAGAACACTGAATTTTTATTTATTAATTCTACGCGCTGGTTTAAAAAAAAAAATTTTTTAACTGAACTCCTGAATCATTAAAATCCTTCTGATGAACGTTGCTCTTGTTTTCAAAAATTTGCAACCAAATCGGAGCATGGAAGTAGAAATCTAAAGTTGAGAAATATTTCAAAAGACAGATGTAGAATTAATTTTTTATTAGAACCCGTTTTATCTTTCAAACATCATACATCGTACTTTGAATATTTTATACATTTTTGCATATTGTGCGCACTGTGTGCATTTTTGTATCTTTAAATGCACAAAAATCGCGCCATCTAATAAATATCTAACGATTCTAAATGCGCAGCGAGTATTTCCAAATGAAAAATGAATTGGGCAAATCCGCGAAATTTTCAAAGCGTCGCGCGAGACTCACGCGCGACAGTACATCGTTCTCGACGCTTTTTCGCGCCTACGCCTAACGCTTACATAATCCTTATTCGTCGCTAAAAGGGTCCAAGCATCTCGCGTTTGAAACATACAGATATTTAAGGAAAAAAAGATAAAGAGAGAAAGCTCGCGAGCGGGCCATCGACATTATCAAATTCTTGTCCATTTCCTCCTCGATAGATCAAAAGAAAAAAGAAAAGCCGAAAAAGATTCGGGATCGGAAATGGGGAAGGGGTAAAAAACAAAAAAGAAAAAATGTGAGAAAGATAACAAACAAACAAAAAAAAAAAAGATTAACAATGAAAACGCAATTCGCCTCGAGGAGATTCGATGCACCAGTTTCTTCCTTCCACTTTTGCACGAGACTTCACACAGTAGATCGTAGAGAGAAAGTTGTACTAATCGATGTAACTAATTTTTGCTGAGACAGTGTAAAGGAAGTGTAGAAGCGTATTTTTTTTTTTTTTTTTTTTTTTTTTTTTTTTTTTTTTTTTTTGGTATTTTACTTGTATTAAAACATGTATCTTATTAAAACGTAAAAGGTGGAAAAGAGGCAGAGGCTCGTTTCTAGAAAAAAAAAAGAAAAAAGAAAAAAAGTTCGCACGGGATTCGAGTGAAATCAGGAAACGAGGGCAACTGTGGGCATTAGATTACTATATATATATTATATATATATATTTTTTACATATTATTATTATCATTATTATTACTATTATTATTATTATTATTCGTATTCGGTAGCGATGCAATTAACGACCGTAACTTCAGTTGATTCTTATATATTATCATATTTATTCGAAGTCCTTGTCTCACGTAATCCTAGAATGTTTGTCTTACATTGGCTTGGACAGTCTTGCATGTAAACGGTAGTTTGGTAGTAATTAGTTAACTGTATATAAAAGGAGATTTTTTTATATGGTACCTCTTTTTACATTTACCAGAGAGTTGGATTATAATAATTATAACCGTGATGATAAACGAGAGAGATAACACACGACGGGATGTGTAACAAAATTAGGTACTTTTCCGGACCGGAAAACGCGAAATACGGTACAAAGCATACTCGAGCATTCTCGCGCGCGCGTTTTATAGAGAAAATCGGCGACGCGTGCCGGTGTAACCTGTTGGCTGTACCACTTGCCTCTCTCCGCGACGACGCAGCGTGTAGCATAATCATTCGCGTAGCATACAACGGCGGCAAAACAGACAGGTTAAACAGACGAAAAATATAGGCGAACTCCGGTCGCCGGGTTAGACGAACCGGAACGACGCGGAGGAGCAATCTCCACATAGTTAGGCAGGGCAGTTGTCGAGAAAAACAATGAAGGAAAGAGAGGCGCGATACCAGGAAGCGATAGAAAGCGTGCGAAAACGAGACTGGACGAGGCGAACTAGCGAACAAGAAAGCAAAAAAGAAAGAAAGAGAGCGAGAGAGAGAGAGAGAGAGAGAGAGAGAGAGAGAGCGGAAGGGAGCGCGTGAGACCAAAGGGAGAATGGAATCGAACGAGAGAATGAGAAAATGATACGAAAGTGCGTGCGTGCGTGCGTGCGTGCGTGCGCGTGTACGATAGAGAGGAAAGGTGAGATAGAATGAGAGACGGGGCAAGTTGGAGAGAGTTTGTGCATCGTGGCCGTTCTGGCTTTGTCGGTTACAGCGTAGTCGCGGCTTCGGCTTCATCACGTTCGCCGAGCCCGGTAGCGTCGACAAGGTGCTGAAGTGTCCAATCCACACGTTGGACGGCAAGAAGATCGACCCGAAACACGCAACGCCCAAGAACCGCGCCAAACAGGCGAACCGCACCAAGAAGATCTTCGTCGGCGGCGTGAGCCAGGACACCAGCAGCGACGAAGTGAAGGCCTACTTCAACCAGTTTGGCAAGGTGGAGGAGACGGTGATGCTGATGGACCAGCAGACGAAGCGGCATCGGGGCTTCGGGTTCGTCACGTTCGAGAACGAGGACGTGGTGGACCGCGTGTGCGAGATCCACTTCCACACGATCAAGAACAAGAAGGTCGAGTGCAAGAAGGCACAGCCGAAGGAGGCGGTGCAGCCGGGCGCGTTAACTCTTGGCAAGAGGGTGGTGTTGGGCGCGCTTGGTGTACGATTGGCGCCACAGCCACCGCTGCCGGTCGCCGCAGCTTCGCAGATCGTCGCGGCCCAAGCACAGGCCCAAGTGCAAGCTGCTGCAGCTGCCGCCGCTGCCGCCCAGGTGCAGAACGCCGTCGCTGGTTACGGAAAGCTGTTCGCCGCTAGCAGTTATCCGGCCCTCTCCGCCTACCGATACGCGCCATACCCGATCCCGGCGGCGGCGGTGGCCGCGGCTGCGGCCGCAGCAGCACCGGCCCCGGCTCCGGCCCCACCGGCGGCCGCCGCCGCTGCAGCCGCTGCCGCCGCTGCTACCACCCCCGCCGCGGCTGCAGCGGCAGCGGCTGCGCCCGCCAACCCCTACCAGGGATACTCGCTCACCAACGTCGACATGTCCAGCTTCCAGGGTGTCGACTGGGGCTCCATGTACGGAATGGGCATGTACGTTTAAAACGCTCCATGACGTTGCCATCGTCGTCGTCGTCGTCGTCGTCGTCGTCGTCGGCTGCTACTACTACTACCACCGCACGCTCGCCTTTCACCCAACAACAATGTGTGTGACACAACGCTCGACTCTGCGACTCTGTGGAAATCCGATCGACCGAAATGGGGACCAGTCTCTGTGTCCTTCGCTGATGATTCTTTCCCGCGACGCGAACTCGCCTCGTTCCTCCGTTTCCTCCATTTCTTCTCCGTCTGTGTCACATTTCCACGTGGACTCTCGCACGTTAAGTTGCTCGCCTCGACATGCCCCGACGCGCAATCTGCGAGTTCGAGTCAATCTCGAAAACTCTCGCGATCGTCTTCCCCTCGGATACATCACCCTGAAACGAGTTTTTCTTCTTGTTTGTACAAGATTTGGTTTATCGAGCAAGTAAGTGCTGCTGTCGCGCGTGGAAATCGGCGGGAGAGAAAGAAACGAGAGGAGAGCGGATACGCACGAGTGTCGCAGAGTCTTTCCTCCCCTTCGAACAGGGCACGAGGATTCTTCCGACAGGCCCAAGTGATTCTTCTACTTCTTCTTCTTCTTCTTGCGTTTATTGTTACTCGTCGTTTATCGCTTGTCGATTAATTTATTAGCGAGAGAGAAAGAAAGAAAGGGAGAGAGAGAGAGAGAGAGAATACATGTGTGTATGTGCGCGAGTGTGCATGAGACACAGCGAGGACGAGAAAAGACGCAACTATCATCGCGCGCGTGCATTAAAAAAAGAGCAAACAGTCGCGCGTAGATTCGATCGTATCGCACGTTTCGTTCGTCAATTATCCTACGTACGTTTTTTTTTTCCTTTCATTTGATTTTTATTTTCTCCATTGCGATTGTTTCGCCAATCTCACCGATTCGGTTCCTAGCGTTAGACTTGGCTCCGACGACACGATACGCGCGACGTTGTTCCACCGCGCTCACCCGCGTGCGGTATATAATTAATCACTTAATTATTTAAAAAAAAGTAGGAAAAAAAAAAAGAAAAAAAAAACGATATCGGCGGTCATCGAGCGACCGTTGCACTCTCAAGGATCTCGACCACGAAGCAATAAAACAGGGGAGGTAGATTGAGAAACAGAGAGAGAAAGAGAAACACATTTTCGATGCGTTACACCGCGTATGACCTCGCGAACCACCGACTCACTCGCTTCATTTTTTCACGTTTCTTTCATCGTTTCTCTCCAATATGTGTCAGACGATTTTTCGTCCTTTGGAATTTCCAAAAAGTTCGCCAATTTCGAACGAAAGCACGCGGCAAGTGGAGGACACGCTTTACGCTTTACGCTACCTTGTACGGTAGACTGGAAAAGATGCTCGATGCCCGATCGTTAGATTGTTAATTAACAAAGTGTAAAATCATTTATTTTCTCTACGTTTTGAGATACTTTCCAAGCATTTTCCTTTCGAAACGGCATCAAAATTATTTCAATTATAAATAAAAAATTCATCGAGTCAAATTTTTTTCAATTTTCTTCTCAGAATAAGAAGTTTAATGTGCAACTATTTAAACTTAAACTGATTGTGAAATCGATTGTGAAATCTGATTGTTGCTACCGATAGTTTGAATCAACGATGATCACAGCGATTCTGCGTCATCTCGAGGGGTTAAATTTTAAAGGAACGCGAACGAACTCGTCGCAGAAACTGACGAAAGTTCGTTGTCACTGTAGAAAAGTCACCATTTGTTTGTTGATCGGTAGTGGAGCTGGGCAAAAGGAAATCTGCCGTGCAACTCGACACTATGCAAGAGCGACGATTGCGATCCGCGACACCCACCCCTTTCTTCCGCTCCAGAGAACGAGGCAGTTCTCCCTATATCTGTGTCCCGCCGACGACACATGTAACTCCTCCGCCTCGGTCAAAGTGCCAAACGAAGCATACGTGGAAACTCTCCTAAATCCATCCGTTTTTGTCAGCTTTCGTCGTCGTGTCTATCTCCTTTTTTTCCACCCACACACGGTAGAACTCCTAGTCTGTATTTTTTTTTTTTTTTTTCAAAACTTGATTATTCCTAACGAAAATTTTGTAAATCAGTTTTGGATCAGTCGAAATTGAAGGCTAGAGATTTCGTGTATATACATATATATATCGTAAATCAAAGTGTAGAAATTTCGTAAAATGTAGAAAAATATGTTTGAAAATTTCCCTTGAAATTTGTCGTTATTCATACATTATCACTGCAATAGATCACTAGATTCCAAGGAGGTTCTACCGTACCTTTCTTCTCTCGCTTTTTATTCAAATTGCCGCGCGACCCGCGCGTGCCTTCGTTCGTTTGGCGAGACACGGTCGTTCGCGCTCGGTCAACGCGGTTTGCGAACGCCTCGCTGTCAAACCGAGAAAACAAACACGTAGAAAGAGAGAGTAGAGAAACAAAGAAAAAAAAAAAAAAAGAAAAAAAGAAAAAAGAAAACGAGAGGGATGGCGTGACACACTCGAAACACGGAGAACGCGTTTAAATAAGATAGCGCATAGGTATACATATATTTTTCTTCGAGTATAACGGAAGACAATATTTCTCCACTTTCGCGCGAATAGAGCAGCCACGCGAATTCGATACGCGGCCACACGCAGATACAAAAGAGGGAAAGGGAGAAAAAGATGAAGAAGAGAGAGACGCTCGGTTTTCTTAGGTATACCGAAGAGATGTCGCGAGGATGTTAAAAAAAAAAAAAAAAAAAAAAAAGAGAGAAAAAAATCCGCGACTAAACGACGATAAGAACAGGAACCCAAGATTGAGATTAGCTCAGCGTTAATTAAGCGAGATACCTAGTTCGTAAGTTGAAAAGAAAAAAAAAAAAAAAACGCAGGTTAAGGCTTAGACTTTTAAGGAGTTCGTAAGAAAAAAAGAGAAAAAAAAGAGAAAAAAAGAGAGAAAGAGAGAGAGAGAGAGAGAGAGTGAACAAAACGGCGAGTCGATACTTAATTTATACGTCTCCGCGGGCACCGCGTTGCTCTCGCTTTTTCCGCGATTAGGGGACCGATCGAAGTGTCTGCCTTCGCGGCTCGATCTTCCGCCACTTTCGATCCACGTGCACGAGGATTAGACTCTTTGACATCGATCCTTCGCGCTTCGATCTTCGTTCTTTTCACTTTGTAGGAATTTTGTTTTTGCTTTTCTTTTCTCCTGCTGTTTCGTTTTCATTGATGCATGAAACCATACTAACAATCGTTGAGCATAATTGTCATTATTAACAATCTTCTCTTGGGAGTCAATCAATCGATATCGTCCCGAATGTACGACAGCGAATGCGTGTCATTAGGCCACGGATGTTTGTGAAATTTTCAATTTTTACTTTCTTAAAATAAATTTTAAATGATAGGTAATCTCTGATTTAAGGTTTCAATTTCCCCGAGCTGTGAATTTATCATCGTGAAAATATCGGTGATTTATCGATCACGAAAAATTCATTTCATTTATTAAAAATATCGTGAGAACTTTATTTTGTATAATAACTTACGCGTCTTTGTATTTTTAATTATATATTTCTGCATACATATGTGTGTGTGTGTGTGTGTGCCTGTATACACGTAAGAATTCTGGTACTTGAAGTTCAAATTAGAACAAAATTGAATGATAAAGCGCGTGTTAAATTCGTTTGAAGCGAAATTAAATTGAAGCGTTAGAAATTAAATGGTAAAAATGCATGAGATTCGAGTAAAACTAAACGAGCAAATCCATTAGGTTAAATGATCAAATGGACGAACATCCGTTGTCTAATTACCATTATCGCGTGTATAAATCTCCGAGTAACAATAATTATCTCTAATAACGAGTCGTCTCAGCGTTAATTAAATTTTCATCAAGTCGATATCTTGACGATGATAAAGCGCGAAGGATCAATCGCACGACCGAGACAGCATACGTAAATTAACATTCAGAATCTACAATTCTTCTACGTACTTGCTCTACTCATTTTCACTGATTCGCGAATGGTTAACAAACGATTTAAACGATCGAACGGAAGATCGACAGATGAAACGAATCACGCGCACGCAGACGCCGCGATTCGCCGCTGACGGAATCTGGCAAACGACGAGAGGATAAAAGAGAGGAAAGAGAGAGAGAGAGAGAGAGAGAGAGAATCGTGGTCAGCGAGAGGAACGCGGTGCCGCGATACAAATGTGAGCAACTTCGAGCAATAAGCGATCTACTGAAACTTTAAGCTGTGTACTATTTAAGTTTAACGAGATACGATAAGCGTGACGACGCGAGAAGGGTGAGAGGAAAAAATTGCGAGAGAGAGAGAGAGAGAGAGAGAGAGACGCGTAAAGTGAATACTTATGCGAAAGGAGAGATTCACCACTTCGACGGAGAAAGAAAAAGAAAAAAATACGAAATACGAACGAGAGAGAGAGAGAGAGAGAGAGAGAGAGAGAGAGAGATCCTCTTGCAAACGACAAGTAATATTCTTTAGTGATATACACCTTAAAACATATACTTAAAAAATGTACCGTAATATTAACGACGACAAAGCTCGCGAGTGATATTTATGACTTATTAAGGTACTTAGACGATTAAGACAAACAAACAAACAAAAAAAAAAATGAAAAACAGAAAAAAGAAAAATTCGAAAGAGAGAAAGAGAGAGAGAGAGTGAGTGAGAGAGAGAGAAAGAGAGAACACGAGAGAATGTGAACGAGAGAAAGAGAGTGTGAAATGATATTGAGAGAGTGAGATAACGAAGCACGCCTTAATAATACGAGAGAGAAGAAAATCGCGAAGAAAAAAAAAAAGAAAGAAGGAAATGAAGGAAGAAAACGGGCACGCGAGCGCGCGTGCGCGTGATCTAGCGAAGAAAAAAAAAAGAGTAAAAGAAAGAGAAAGAAAGAAAGAAAGAAAGCAAGCAAGAGAGGCGATGAATTTTGACTAGAGACCACGGTGCAACCGAATTCTATTTTCCACGGTCTGCGTACTTCGTGATGGTGCGCAGTTTCGAGATAGAAACATGGCTGCGTACTTAAAAAGCTGACCTCGAAGACAAACCCGATAATCGGTGTACCCTGTAATATACTCCCTGCAGCTCTTCCACGTTCCCTTCCCTTTCGAATAGTTTCCATATCCTTATCTTCCTACCTTTTTTCCCCTTCTTTTTCTCTCTCAACAGCTTCTTCTAGCTCTTCCTAGTTCCTCCCACCCTCTTTTTCTCCCCCATCACATTTCTTTGGATGAAAAATCCATTTTCGTCTCGTTCTTTCTCTCTCCCTTTCGAAGGAAGTTTTGATTGTATACTCAAATATCGGTCGAAAGGAAGAAAGAGAGAGAGAGGGAGAGAGAAAGAACGCCGATCGTTGGAAACGAAAGGACGCGTTCCGACGAGGAAGAAACGCGGGGACGTTCGATTCGATCGATCGATCTCCTCGCCGATCCGGGACACCAACCTTCGTATAATTTTGCTATCGACAGAGAAACTGTCGTCGACGACGATGTACAGCTGCGCTCACGAAAGTTATTCGAACGTTCCTACGCTCGCGAATCACATCACGTGAAACATCATTGAAATCTTATTAACACGCATTACGATTTTTGTATTATGTAATACAAATAGTATTTGAAACAAACTTGGAAATACGTAGATATAGAAATTACAAGATATTTTGTACGTAGTGTTTCACAGGGATTGTGAAATGTGTTTCAGTAGCAACAGTTCGTTTTATTAGTATAAATGTCTTAATATATCAGTGCAAGTATACATCACAAAATTGTACATTTAAGTTGTACATTAATTTCTTGCACTAAATTTACGTTTGGAATAAGTATCTTGTAAATTCTACATAAATTTTTCAGCAAGTTCAAGATACGTTTGAAAGTGAACATAGAAGTGACAAATGTTTCACAGAAGAGACACAAAAGTGTTACATATGTGTCACACACGTACAACGACAATGATTCCTCGACGATGAGCGTTCGAATACTTTCTTGAATCGCTGTATCAATCTGTCCCTCCTCCGACCGACTCTTTTCACATTATCTTCCTTCTTCCCAACTCTTCCGAAAGACAAACACTTCCCCCCTCCCTTTTTCATATACATCTGCCGGTGATTATGTATTTTATACGCTACACGCACACGCTCATACATACAAAATGAACACACACACGTACCACACGTAAAACGTACTTATATTGCGAATGTCGAGAGTAATTCTTAGCGTAGTTAGTAATTTTAATGATCGCTAACCATCCATTAGTTGAGAATGATCAGTAGGTGAGAAAAGCATGCTGGTTGAAAAATATCTTAGACTCCGAGACCCGTTGTTCCTTCACCGCCCTCGTCGTTTCATTGTATTATATATGTTTTAAGGATTAATTATTATATAGTGTTACATTAGTCGCTGCTCTGCTCCCTTGCAGACCGTTTTATCATATCGCGACCGTGTCTCATCGAAGAAAAGAAAAAGAAAAAACGATCGTTCGATCGGTTCCCTTCCCCTCCTTCTCCCTTCTCTCTCTCTCTCTTCCCCTCACTTTCCCTTTCTTTCGCGCACCCTTACACGAATTCTCTTTTTTTTTTCCTTTAATTACTGTTTTTTTTCCTCTCTTTTTTTTTTCCTTTCGATCGTTTCAGTGTTTCGCGTGCGTTTTTACATGTACTTCTTTTTTATTTCATTATAGTAGTTATATAGTATTATTGATCTTGTGGATGTACATTTGCGTGGGAGATACATCGTCAACCGAATGTATCGATAATTTGCAGTTTTTATTTTTCATTTTCTTTTGCCACATGTCTGTACGCTACTGTACGATTAGGTTCACATAACCTAATACGTAATGAATATTAAACTGTCCAATATTCTCAAAGTCAAAGCCAGTTTCTCATCCTTCGAAAACTTGGACTTCCGATAACTTTCCCACCGCCGCACCACAAGTTTCTGGATGTTTTAATATAGACACTATATCGGTCGAGCCCAGCAGTGAGTAGAATTAACCCTTGAGTGGACTTTCGATTGATACTGGAACTACCAGCGAGTAAGATACAGAAAATTATTGTTCATTAATGAGGACACAGTGTTTTACAATGGCTGTATGAACGCGAAAAAGTTTATCATATAGTTGCACCGAGCAATATTGCCCGACTCTCGATCGTTCTTACTACTGCATTCACTGTTTCAAGTAGAATGAGTCGAACATATCGTGTGGTTCATTCATAACTCGCAAATATGACGTAACATAGTAGAAAGTAAAGTAAAAATAGTTAAAGAATATCGTGTATTTTATTCGTGTAGAATAACATCGATTAACTTGTTAATCGTTCCTTCTTACCATTGCGTTCACTTTTTCACGTAGAATCACCGTGTTACGGGTCAGACATATCGCGTGGTTCATTTATAACTGACATGATATAACGTAGCAACTAAAATAACGAAGTAATGAATAACATAAAAGAAAAAAAAATAGAATTTAATTTTTACAAAGATCAAAGAACCGAGAATTGTATTATATTCTTCGAATAAATAATTAAAATTGCGTTCAATTTGAATGTCGATAGTTTATTCTTGTTTTAGAAACATCTGAACTGTTGAGGACTGAAGAATTAAAATAAAAGGAAAAAGAATTTTTATTCATTGAAATGTTGAAAAGTGCATCAGTTTGGTAGTTCCTAGTGTTGAAGTGTGTATGTTTAATTTATATATCAAGATAGGAATTAATTTTCCTTGCAGCGTTAGAAAAATATACGAGTTGTTCAGAAGCCATACTGATTGAAATGCAGCGAAAAATAACAATTATTCTTACATCTACTTTCGAATCGCAGAGACATATTATTATGATAGATTGAGAAAAGGTAAATCCTCCTTTTCTCGAATATTAATAATTATTTTAAAGATATTGAATATTAACAATTATTTGCACAATAAAATTGAGAACTTCACAAACAATAGAATTGATTGATTTAGCTTCTGAGAAGCTCGTATGTGACAAAGTTATTAATTTAAAATTAGAAAAAAAAAAAAGAATTTCATCCACTTAAGGGTTTATTAAGGACCAAAATCTCTTCACGAAGATACGTTATTTTTATAACAACACCGCAACTTTTTTTTGAAATTTCCTTCTATCGCTGTCGGAGCAGCGTTCCCCGAAAAACGAAGAGATGGAGAAAAAAAAAGCCTTGTACTATGGAAAGAACCTTCTTTTTTTCTCTCTCTCGGCTCAACGACCAAGGCGGGCAACGGAGCGAGAAAGAGGGATCGGATGAAAAGAGACGAAGACAAGAAAAGAGATATAATAATTCACCCTCACCAAGACACGTCCCTGATCTTTTCTCGAAACCATCCACCTCCTTGAGACACGTTTATTTCATCTAAATATACATATATATATATATTATCCGTATACCATCGTCCCAATCTTACCATTTGCTCATCATTATCGCTATTAATTACTGTTAATATTGTCATCGTCATCGTTACTACACCCTCTGGTAAAAAATTGTCGATCGAACGCGAGTATTCGAAAACTGCGAAGTAGGAGCACGTCGTGTTTGCTCGAGATACACGCGGGAAAATAGAACGAAGTGAATTCAAACGAAGTGAAATTAGATTCCGAATCGTTGCGTGAACAGAAAATGATTTTAACATTCGAAATATCTGTGTTTGGTCGAAAGCTTCTTGCCAGAGGGTAGCAATACTATTACCACCATTTTTAATCATTATTATTATCATGGTTCGTTATTTTTTACTGTCAGCATCGTCACCCCCTGCAAGTACGACTGCGATCATAGTTGTTGCCGTTGCGTATCGTCGTTATTATCGTCATCGATCTTCATTCTTCAACAATTATAATGGTAAAATTACTAGATTGCTGCGGATCTTTATGCAAACTCGCATATTTTTGAGAGAGCAGACTCTCTCGATGGAAAGTGTTGCGTTTGTACGTTCTGCGCTTTTAAATTTCCGTATAAAACGCGTAAAAATCCGCAGTCTAGCAATTAGACTCGACACGCGAAATATTTCCAATTAGAAAATATTTTCAATTGGAAAAAGTTTGAACATTCATTGGTAATGGCGGTGAGAAGACCTCGGCCAACGAATGCTCTACAATAAAGATTTTACCCCTTGCTTCATGATTTTTATTTTTGTAGATATTTACTGTATCTATATTTGCATCGATGCTTCGTTTGAAGGAGAATATTGAAAAATCCTGGAAAATTTATGTTGAGTAAAATTTACACGATATAATCTTGCGATTTGTCGAAGTCGAGTGCTGGTAAAAATTGGATTTTTGTACAAATAGCACTACGAGTGTGACTCAATAGAAGGTTAATCTCTCGATGTCGAAGGAAAAATTTATGTACGGTGTCTCTCAAAAAATTAATCGTACGTTTAATTGAGACCTCAAATTATAAACTAATTTACAAAACTAAAGTAAATTATATTTCGTATAATTATATTTCATTGAGTGACTCGAAGAATTTTGAAAATGGCCTTCATTGATTTAAAAAGATTGATTCAGTATTCAGTCAGTTTTTCGAAAAACGTGATACATTCCACTTACTGACGAATATATAAAATTCAAAGAAATAGCTAAGGTTAACAAGATGAAAAAATATTAGAGCAAGGAAGGTAAGAAGCATTCACCGGCCGAGGACTTGAACGTAAATCTTCGTCTCCTTTCTTTTCTCCCCTTTCCAGTTTTACATCTTTCGCATCTTCGTATGTTTTCTTTTCATTATTACCATTATTACTATCATTTCACCTGAATTTCGTTACTTTGTTGTGCC